TATATATATATATATATGAAGCTGATTGGGAATTTTGACATGAAAAAGTGCTTATAAAATGAAAGAAACGAATAAAAACACGTAATACAAATGAGAAATTAAACGAGAATTGCTCAGCGAGGAATAAAAAAACGTTGATATATATGTTCGTATAAAAATCAGATTAAGACGAGATGGGCCACGCATCCATACAACAGCATTAAAAATACGCTATTATGAATAGATATAGTTTTTAAATCATTAGGGCATTGAAAAGAACGTTGAAACGAAAGAAGTTAATTTATGAAAATATGAGGAGAATAAGCGTTAGCAGCAACAGTATCAATATTGAATCGATGACAAACGAATGAAGAAGAGAATAGCCATGTATTATCCACATATGAAGAAGGAATATTCAATAAGTACGATACGATACTCACGACAAAAAAAATTCAACTTGAAAAATAAAAAGGAAGGAGAATTGAACTGATACGAAAAAATTTCAAAGTTGAACTGCAAGGAACATGCTTATTCGAATTTGTGTGTGGTGTGCACTCATTGTGAAATGGAATTTTTGATTCAAATTAGAACTGAGAAATGAACAAAAGAATCGTTATATTTGACGAAGGTGATGAAGGTTTATTTACAAAAGAACAGTGAAGAGATTGGAAGATCGCAAGAAACGAAAATAATAAAAAACCAATTGTATTCATTTTACAATACACTACTTATAAAACATATTCGCAGACAAACATTGTAAAAAAATAATACAACTAAAATGAAAAGTATAATGCAATGAAATGAAACGCAAAACACATGTTTGAATGTGTGATGCGTACTGATGTGTTTGTGCACAAAAAAAACCCGTAATTAAACACTGTGCATTCGTTCATGATTACTACTATCATTTAATCGATGATTGACTGCAAGCAACAAAATCGAGTGAACAATAAAAACAGAAACGGAAATATTGACGGGAATATTCAAATCATCCGGTCAACAAACTGATTGTATTCACTTTTTGTTGTTTACTGAATAAATAAATATATCGTTATGAAAAGTGACTTGAACTGAATCATTGTATCAATCGAGCAATCAATTTCTCATATCCACGATAATTATTATCATTATCATTATCAACGCTTTGACCAACAACATCTTACTTGCTATCATTATTGACAATATGAAATGTCTTGGAAATGAATTAATCGATTACATCGATAAGCTAACATAACACTGGAATATGTATATCGTATTAAAACAATAACATCGTATAAATCATCTAGCAATATCTTCACACTCATTTCATTGCCATTTGAATCACATATTATCCCCTTTCCTATTTGTTGTTTTCTTGTGAAGAAAAATCGGGGAGATGAGCACTGAAACGAAACAACAACAATAGCATGACTTCAATAGCAAGCCATCATAATAACAACCTAAGAAACTCAACAAGCATTCGACCGACGGCTATTAGGTGAATTTAAAGTGGACGACCGAAGGCCTATATTCAGCCTAAACTTTAGAACATGACTTCAACTAGGCCAGCGGTTATCAACCTTTTTTTTCCTCATGTACCCTCTAGAAAATTTTAAGATGCCCTCGCCCCTCTCATCGCACTCCCTCTCAGCCCACTCTCTCTCGTACACCCCTTGTTGAGAAACCTTGATCTAGAACAAACTTCATCTCAGAAATTCAATAAGCCGAATGAAAACACTCTTCATGGCGGTATGGAATGTTCGAGTTTGATAGGTTGCCTACCACGATGATGAATAGAAAACAGAAAAGAAACGCAGTTGATTTTTTGCTCTTCATTCTTCTTCTAAAAATGAAACAATTTGGTTGTTCCGAATCTATCATCGATAGTTATTATTTGTTTGGTTAATCATTGGAGCGGATAAATGATGGATGAATGGATGGACTATGGTAATCGAATCATCATAAACGTAACCTAAGTGGATTACATAAACAAATAAATAAATAAACAACTATGTGAATGAATACAATCATATACACTTCAATCATGAATTATTACCAGCATATATAAGTAAAAGAAGACTTGTTTACAGAGAAGACGACTGAAGAAATGAATTTTCAAGTTAAATTATTTGAAGAAGTGGTGATTGTTGAACAAGTCGTGAGCCATAATTAAAATCACACATACCAGTCCACCCATCCGTCTTAACGTTTCTGTTTACCACCTCCTTTCGTTGATGGCGAATGCGGTTCATCAGGTAGTTCATCCGCATAACGCTCACGAAGCGCCTCGATTGCGTTACACCATTCCATTGCATTGCGTTCCGGATCGAATAAATAATAGGTTCGATTCGGCTGTAACATACCACACTGATAACCTACTTTAATCATCACCGTCATTCCAAAACGTAACTTCTCGTAACGAGATAAGCAGCGAAGAATGAATCAAGCACAGCTGTAGTTATCCGTTAAAAATGAAAGACGGACCAAGATATCGACAGTATAAACAGAAGAAAAGAATCAAGCAACTGATGTGCTCTTACCGTATGAACAAAAAATGTCCGGAAATTTTTCGCTTCAGTTCGAAGTCGTCGGCTGAAAGGTATTTTACCTTTAAGTTCCATATTCACCGGATCAACGTAATAGATGTGTGGCCCTTCAGTTAATAAGAACATCCTTCGACGTGCAAATAACCCCTAAAACAGCAGCAATAACAAAATATTTACGCAAACAATCGATCTCGATCAAATGCATTAATCCATCATCGAATAGCAACCTTTTTCTTGTCAAGGAGACCCGACTTGAGGATGAGATGATCATCAACGAAACGGTGGTATTTGTGTGTTTGACGCTGAATATTCAACTTTCGTTCCCGTTCATCTTCATTCGTCTTATTTGAATCAAGTGATGAATTGTGTGAACTCAAATACATAAACATCATCCAACAAAACAACAACATACAATGATCAAATCAAGTTCAATCCACCGATCAAACTAAGGATTAAAAAAATCTATGAATTCAGTAAAATATTGAAGCTAACCTCATTGGGACGAAATCTTTGAGGCTCAGTCCCATTAGGCGCGTAAGAGCCGCATCATCAAGACCTGGCTCTAGATTCAATGGTACATGATAATCACTGTGGAAGGCGGGTTCACCGCAACTGGCTGGCAAATACGGCTTCAGTTCAGGTGGATTCTGATACGGGAGATTCTCCCAGTCGATGGTCGCGAAGTAAGGATGCGAACGTACCGATTCAACACCACCCATTTCGATTGAGCCAAGTCTTTGAGTTGGATCAACAATCTGCAGTAAATAACAACCATTAATTCAGACGTATATACTTACACTGTTCTCGTGAGGAAAACGAGAAGTTTTGAACACGGTCACAATGTGCACTTTTTGACAAGAAGAAGTATTGAAAACAGTATGAATAAACGCTTATTTAAAATTTATTATTAAATCGCAAGATATTATTAAGGTATTTTGAAATGAACAAATAAATTTATGAGATTTTAGAAAGGATTTCCAATGAGCGACTAAGGGGAGAAAAATCGTTCATTAGAGATTACGACAAACCAAAAATTTTTGGACGAGATCTCTTGGCAATTCCGGAAAACCTTCTGGGAAGGAATAGTCCAATTTTTGGATTTTCTGGAATGTATGGTAGTCGTTCATCGAACGGAAAGGCGGCATTCCAGAAACCATTTGAAATATTATGGCACCTAACGCCCAGTAATCACACCTGAAAAAATAATTAGAAATCGTGATCTGTTCCTTTTCTGGTCAAGCTAAAGCGTGCAATAACTGCTATCCGTGAAAAACGTACGAGGGACCGACGTCGCCATCGACCAGAACTTCTGGCGAAACGTACTGCGCGGTACCAACGAACGTCGATCGACTCCTGTGATGACTCTCTTCACCAACACGAGGCAGTAATATATCTTTATCGATCGATCCAATATCTACACATACATTCTGTTTGTACAGGTGTATTTTATTCAAGTGATAACAACATCATCAGACTTAAACGATTCACATGCCGCTACTGAAAGGCATCACTGAAAATTTTTGAAGAAAAAACGCATCATTTCTTACTATCTTCAGCTTTCAAAAATTTTGCTGTTCCAAAGTCAGACAATAAAATATGACGATTATCATTGAGAAGAATATTCTCGGGTTTCAAATCACGATGTATGATACCACAACGATGAAGAAACTCTAATGCACACACAATTTCAGCCGAATAAAAGAGCGTCGCCTGAAAGAATTTAATGATTGAATCTGCAATAGAAAAAAAAAGTTTTAGTCATTACCGTTTATCGATAATAATATCCAAATAAACCGTCAAGGACTGGATCATTATACTCATCCATTCATCACTTCATCATAACTGCTAATGTATGCAATATCCTATATCAGGGTTTCTCAACCAGAAGTGCTCGCTCGTCATGGGACACGAGATAGCATTCCTGAGTGTTGGGCAATGGACATGTCTATTGTTGTGCGGGATGCGAAGACATTTCAAAATTTTCAGGGGTTGCAGGTGAAAAAAAATGTTGGGAACCACTGTTATAGATGATAGGGTTCAAAAGAGACAGATTTGGAGGATTGATGGAAGATGACAGGAATTAATCACTTTGTGAATGCAAAATACCTGCCTCATCATCGAAAGAGCCCAATCGTTGAAGACATTGCAACAAATCACCATTCCTCGCATAAGTCATCGCAAAATCTGAATTTATTTCATACACACACACGTCGAATCAAAGTCGATCTCGTCAGTTAAAATATGATCGAAAATAATAATGTTAATTAAGTGCAACATACAAAGTCGAGTTGGATCTTGGAAAGTACAATAGAGGGAGACAAAAAACGGATGTCCTCCATGAAGATACGTTATTGAAGTCATCACATTCTTCTCACGCATAACACTCTTCACCTACAGTTTTATTAAATAATTCTTTGTTGACGAACACCTAACTGAGTCAAATATTTCAATAGTCCAATGCACGACGTCTAGGCAATCATTCGAATTGAAGCATCAAAAATTTTTCTTTCAACAAAGATGGATTTACTGAGCAAAAGTGTAAAATAAAAAGAGCATTGCAGTGCGAAAAAAATGAACAATGATAATATTACTTTATCATGTCGACGGATGAGATCTTTATTGAGCACCTTAATTGCATACTCTTTACCTGAGGATACCTCTCGCGCCAAATATACCTTGAATAGAAGAAAACTTGACTGTATTGAACCGTAAAAACAAATTCGATTCATATTTGTTTATTAAGGAGATAGATAAATTTTTTTCACTGAACACATCTGAAAGAGCTGCTGCTGTTGATGCAACGCTAATATAGTAAGATTGAGAATAGCATTCGATTAATTTGAAGAATGACCATTTGATCAATAGTATACATACTGGGAACTTCTTTTCAGATAATGATATATTATATAGGTTGATCAAGTGCATCAGAAGAAATAGAAAACCGTTAGCAAAAAAATGCACTTGGAATTTCGATGATAAACGGTAGATGAGGGGAATGGAGAATTTATCGTGTGTCCGTCCGTCTTATGTTATTGAGTTCTTTTGAAGGACAGAGACACGAAACGTATCGACAGCAGTAGCAACAACAATAGCAATCACTTTCAATTGATTGTACCGTTGAGAAGGAGCCTTCGCCAAGCGTTCGAACAAAAATAAAATCTTCTGCAGTCGTTTGCACAGGCTGTCGACCACTGCGCATCATTTGCATCATGGCAGCTTGTGAGATTGAATGCTTTTTCTTCATAGCCACCTGAATTCAGTCATTTTGTAAGTGAAACTCCACTTGTTTACTTTGAACATTCGATTGCCACTTCTGTGGAAACAATCTGAATTTGCGAAGAGTTTTAAGCCGATATGAATCTCAACTTCATGTTCACGTTTCTAGCAGTTAGTTCAGATGGTTTAAACCATTTCCAAAACTTCAGTTAAAATGAAATTAGTTCGGCTAACACGTCTGAAGATTGAGTTTAACACATAGGCATGAGATAACATAAATGATGCTGCACCGAAAATGACGATTCGGAAGGTTGATCATAACGAAGTGACGTCGTGGTTGCATTGACTGTAGTAGTTGAAGCACTATGAGTCGGCTTTTTGTAAATTGCAGCAGTAGCGGCATAACTACGAGTGCTTGAGCATCCCGTTACAATTCGATCATTTACGTTGTCTTCTGAAGATGATCATATAGTACAGATACCTTTAGAGATCATCATCTAGCAATACTAAACATAATGATAAGGTATTCCTTGGCATTAATTATTCACTGACCGATCGTTGTTGCAATGATATCAGTTTGTTGGTGACGACTTAGAAAAGTGAAAGATGACTGCGATCTAATATTGTTGCTGTTGAGGTTGGTGGAGATGCTGTACCTGAATGTAAAACGGCTATACACTTGATCAATGGATTTGACACGATATTATACGATAAACGATCGAGACAATAGGTTTGAATAAGCAAATATATCAGCAATCACAACCATTAAACAATCAATCAATCACGACAATACCACGAAAAGGAGCTGAGCGGTCGACAATAGTGTTAGACCGATGTGGTTATGATACTGCAGCCTACAGGTGATGCTTGTTAGTTGGGTGCTTGCTTGGCTGTTGGCTGGCAATGCGTTGGTGGTGAACAGATGAACAGCAAATAGACAGTGATTACGCAAGCAAGAATAATTGTAATTTTTCAATCGTGGTTGATCATGACTAACTCTTCTTATTATCATTCCTCTTCAAATGTTCTTAACGCTGTTGTCCTCATTTGCATGCAACCTAAGTACGCACACTGACCGTGTGTTCGTCTGTACGTCTCCTGAAATTGGTAGCGGATAAAGAGCGATTCATAAATTATGGAATGTTCCGACTGGATAGATGAGTGGATATAGTGACTGACTGAATGATTCATGGATGGATTTATGAGTGATCACATGCACCGCTTACGATAACGGTTATGATGACAACCGCTTACGATAACGGTTTGTTTCTCGTCCGCGAACTGTTGAAACAATACGATGGGTAAGATAGAACAGAAAATTAAATGATAAATTTGTTTCCATATGCCTAATTCAATGTATACGAATAATATCAACATGAATAAATATGTAACGACTGATAGACAACACAGTTGCGATGAAGAAATAAAATAGGAATATGTATAAAGAATTATACGAACTTATCAAATGAATAAATGGCAGATAATGTTATTTTTGGACTGGGGGATAGGTTTTTGTTGTTTGGACTAACATAGTCAGTGGGAGATAGACAGATGGATCGATGGATGAATGAATGAATAAATGGATGGATGCAAAACAAGATGACGACGATTAACGAATGCCACCAGTCGATAAGGGGTCGTTCACAGACTCGCTCACTCGGCTCATAAAAACATTCAAATATGTTTATAAAATACATGATGCAAATATCACATCACATCACATCACATCGTATCACATCACATCGCATCTCATCACATCTCATCACAACATATCATCACAAATCACATCACATTAGAGATGGATCACGCTTCTGTATTATTGGTTATGGCTGATGCTGCTGCTGCTGCTGATGCTTGGCCGAAGTTCATTATGAACAGCTTCTTTATAACGGCGAATGCGGTTGTTGTTTAAAGTACAAGAAGACGACGACGACCCGACAACAACAATAACAACTATTTTTCGTTCGTTCGGCTAATCACGTCAGTCACTCATACTCTTCCTTTTCGTTTCTGTTCCTTTCGAATCAATCAATCAATAACCATTTCTTTATGTCGTCTGACAATGACGACAACAGAAATGCTGCTGTTGAAGCAATGGATTGGCGTAGAGGTTTGTATCGTATTCCCTCTTAGAGTGTTGCTGATCCACGAACTTCTACCGATTCATTCTGCCGTTGATTGTATTCATTTATCGATGAACGAGACTGCACAGGCTTGCGTTGTATTTATTCAGACAATTTTATTGTGATAGTTTCGTTATTATTATATGAATGCAATAATTTTGTTTTTATTAGTTACTGTTTAAGAACAAACTATTGCGAATGACCGACTACTCATTCGTTTGCCTGGCAATGTGAGAAGTCGAATTAAATTCATTGCACATCACAATCTTTTTTCGAGGAGGTCTTTTCTTCAATTGCGAGCAAATGATAATTGATTTAGGATCGAACTTAGTGTTTGATATAATAATGACTGATAGAGTATCGTAGTAGATGATTTAAAAAAGGGAAACTTCATGGAAATGAATAGGTAAATATAAACGATGTAATATGGATTGATTAATGATGCGAAGATGGAATACAAGTAAGCAGTCCGATTAGAGGGGAGTATATCAGCAGGAACAGCAGCAACAACGCGCGTTAGCGGTGAGAGAAATAAGCCTAAGCATTTAAGTATAAGCTTGTTGATACACAGCTAACTGCGATAATAGACAGATGGAAATGTGGATATCTAGATTGCTTGAAGATTACTATGTTCGACGACGCTTGTTTGTGTTCCACTCGTGGTTGGTGGTTGGCTGTAGGTGTCGCTCATATGGTTCAATGTTGCTAACACTTCTATTTATTGTTATTATCAAATCTACTTCATTTCTACTAATTCTTCGATTTCTAGCCTAGCCATCTAGCAACAGGTAAATTCATGCACGACGTAACATCATTGTAATGACAAATAGCAGTAGGCAACAATAGTAACAATAACACTAACTTACTAAATAAAATATCGATCTGGTCTCGTCTAGTCTCGGTCTCAAATCGCCTGCACAAATATACACAAACCACACACACACACACACACACACACACACGAATACTCGCATACAAATACGCATAAATGTTGTTCATATCATGTAAAAGCAGTACAACATTTTGTTGCATCTCAACATTATATACAATATTAGTGTGCGTTATATTACAGTTACAATTCTTATTATTACAAGTTTAATTAGAATTATTATCACTATTATTCTTTAATCATCACCGCACCGAACCACTACATCTCAAGATGAATCTGTTTTACAGATGGGCCATTTTAGGGCTACGCATTTACAAGCGAAGAGAGACAGACGACAATCAGAGGCCTCACGAAATGAGTTAAAGCCTTATGCGTAAGCGTTAACTTAAATAATCAACGCGGAAGTGCGCGTCGCGCAAATGACGTGAAACTAAGGGCAAGAAGACAGACTGCAAATGCAGAAAAGCATCGCTTGGCTTAAGCACAAACAACAGCTGACTCGAACGTTAAAGATGACATGCCGTGAATCAGCCAGCAGGAAAGCCCGTTTCTTTCATTTTTACCAATAATTTCGCTCACTTGACTACTCGTCCATCATTTTCTAGAAGTGTTGTGCATTTTAGTTGTTTGTTATGAAGAATACCATACATATATTTAAGAGATGTAGCTAAATTTCTAAAAACATATCACAAAACTGCTCGATTCTAATGTCACCTAGCTTCATCCATCTAATCTATATGACGATCAAACAATTTATTATAGAAACTGAGCTGTATAATTTTGAGGCGCTCGGTTTTTAGACGATTTGTACACTGAACTTGGAAAAAGAACCTTTGCATTTCATGCAAGAGTAACACACATGTAATCTTCAGTTCAGAAGAGATCCAAACCTCAGGACCACGTTATTATAGGTGCTCTTCGGACGGCAATTTCCTTCAAATGACTTGTGCGAACAGTTTTAAACATGAACTCGTAATTTGCTGACATTATCGGTTGGACGAGATTCTATGCTAGCAGAAAAATAGATGTATTAATGAAGAAAGCGTTGCAATAAGAATATAGGAGCGCTTCTAAACGTGTGTCAGGTGGCTGCACGATTTCAGCAATTTTTGTATTAATGATTTCTCTGTTGATCAGTGATGCAATGGTGCTATAAAATCATGCGAAGTACGGCGTTCACGCCGTCAGGATGCTCAGATCGGTAACTATGAAGTCGGGCGTCCTAAAATACTGGAGGTCGTGAGCTTCAAAAGAGGTAAAACGACATTGTTGAGCGGTCAGTATTTTCGGAGATATGGCCGCATTTGTCTTACCATTGAAATATCGAGTTTGTGTTGTTCAGATCACGTGTTTACTTACATCTGCTGATTAACCTCGTCGTTTCTTGCACCACAGGATAGAGATGTGTAAATAAACACATCGCGTTGCAGTGTAATATAATAACGGTGACATGATATCAATATAATAATAATAAATAATGAATAATAATAACAATAATATGCGACAATGCTAACAACAACAGATTGAGCATGTTGACACTCTGTTAATATGATACATTTTTGATCTGATGAGTTATATGAACACCTGGTTCTATCACACAGAGTTCTGCATGTTTTGTTTGTTTATACTGCAGCCACAAAAAGATGGTAGGTATAATATGTGAATGGATAATCAATGATGTTATTGAACCATATCAAACTGTTTATATGATGTTATTGAACCATGCCAATTTGTCATATTGTGATCATCACCCACCTTTTGCATACTTAATGATATTATATCTTAGATATTTGCATATTGCCGAACGGTTACATGAGGTGTGAAACTGAATCATTCAAATCGAATGGGTTTTATGTTAAATGATAGCTTGATAGGCAGGTAGGGTTGCTACGTCATGAAGATGTTCATTTTGATGTTGCAATAAAATTTTTATTCATATAAAGCACACACTGTGATATCAAAAAGATGACAAACACCTGTAAATAAATACATATTATAAACAAATATAACGATACCATTACAACTAGTAACATTGCTAGTGATAATATTAATAATAACACTAGTGATAGTGATTTTGGTACAAGCTATAATAATAACAAAAAGGATGATAAAATGAAACTTGCATAGACGAAATGAAACGAGTGACGAAAAAGTTCGGTCGATTAAAGACTGATAATGTTGAAGAATGACAGAGTATGCGTCCTATTGAATATTGCTACTCGAAGGGAATTTTCACTAAACAACCACGATTTGGTTTATTTTTCCACGTTGAAGCGGGTTACGGTCGAAATGAAGCAAGAGCCCTCCTTAGTGGATTGATGCTGATAAAGATTAGAGACTAATGGCGCGGATTGATAGACAATGATTGGGTGAAGTGATAAAGGACGTGAATGGATATTGACGACAACGTCGTCCAAATGAAACCTGGCCAACCTGCGGCCAAGCCACGTTCCTCGGATATTTGCATAGAAACTTTGATCAGCGAGCAATGTCTGCTTGATATAGAAATTCTCAAAAACGATAACTCATTGGTCAGTAGTAAACAAAAAAGCGTTAGTCGTTGTGGGTATTGTCGCCGTCGAGAAACCAAGACGACATGAATGTTTCAGAGGGAACAAACCATTCAAAAAAACAGTCTCTGCCAGCTCTCATATAGGCTGTACTTTTACAATTTCGAACCCATACCAATTTTATTCAAAAACAATAATACCAAAACATTTTCAACACTCATCAACAATTTATATCATCAAGCTAACCAATAAAAAGTAATTCATCAAAGCAAGAAAAATTCCTCACAATCAGTGGATAAAAGTGTTCCATAAAGAAGATAATTTATCGAGCAAACGTATAACACAATAAATAAAGCGTGCAATCAATAAGATGTTACATCATTGAAACTGAATAACAATAATAAAAGTAGAAACAATAATAAAAGTAATACCCGATATACGTATGACTATAAGCCATCGCTGGAGAGCTGCTTAAAAAAACAATGCAAAAACAAGGCTAGCAATGTTTGAAATCCAAGATAACTGAAGTGAACAAACTGCAAAATTTGATTTTTGATTTGTCTCTTCCAATACTTCATTATACGCGAGTGTCCTGGCGATTATGATTGCCGGATCGCTGGAACCCGCCTCATTTTGAGCACTTAATTTGAAAACATAATTCGTATCGTGGCGCAGTCCTTTCACTTCATAAACATCGTCGCTCACTGCAACAATAAAAATAATGATAGTAGCAAAAATAAGCAGTGTACTAATAATATCATAATAAAAGCAACAATAACTTGTTGGTGTCGTAAGTCGTGTTGCTTGTGTTCGCCAAATTTGTTCAGTGTCTAAATTTTGTTCAGATGCCTGCAATAAGACAATATATGACTGATGTATTAACTTTACCCATCGGTATCAAAATTTTTTCCGTGGTAATGAATTGTGGTCAATCGATTGTTCTCATTAAATTAATCGAATAAGTATCTGTGAAGATTCAACGAAACAAAACAAATCAAAGAGATGGTGCTAACCGCTAAATCGTCGAAAAGATTTTTACGAATGAATTCAATGGTGTAACCGAGAATCGGCAATTTAGCCGTATTGCCAACAACCTCAAGTTTCCACCAAATCGCATTTGTGCCAGTCCTCACAAGTGATGCACGAATTTCATCTGGTGGATCTGTATGAACGAAGGAAAAATTCAATTTTTGATAGCAAATATATCCTTTCACTTACAACAGTGATTAACTCTTGGGTGCCGTTAGTTACTCTTTTCTTCTACATACAATTTCTCTAGAGAAGTTGATTAATTGCATCACGATAAAATATCGTCTGAAGTCTGCTGGTTCTTTGAATCATTCTTGAGTTTGAACTCAAGCACATAGCTTGAGTTCAAATTGCTCTTGGTGCACAGTGATATCTTTGATCCAGCTAAACTGTTCTATTTCTGTTCTATTTGAAAGGAACTCACAGAATAGAATAGAGTCGTTTTTGGAGAGGAATAGAACAGTTTTCAATGAAATAGAAACATCACTACTGGTGCAACTGGTGAACTTTCGTCGAGCATAGTTCAAAGCACGTCATTAAGATGCTATACTACTCAGTACCCCGTTTCCCACCATCTACTGCCGATCATCAAATGACTCTTCAAAAATAAATTCATCCAGTAGGGTAACAACAAAACAAAAATCGCATGAATGAATGTAAAATATTCATATTCAAACAACCATCACTGCCCAGCAATCAACTGCAGTCAATCATATATGCGTAACAAACTATATTATCAACTGAAAATTACCGTACTTGCTTCGATTAGCATAATTGCTTGTTGTGATTTTGCTTTACTATTGCTCGCCTCACAGATATATTCGCCAAAATCGTCTTCTTCCACAGTAATTATCTGTAATACTCCATTGAATTAATACAAAACATTTAAAAAAAGATTTATTCTTCGCCAGAAAACATATTTCGTTCGTGAACCATGCCATGAATAAAGTTTGCATAGAGCCTCACGAATCGCGAAATCTGACTTCTGAATCGCGATCCCGAATCCCGGGATTGAGAAAGCGGCGGGATTTTGCAAAACCTAACTACAAATAATCATTGAGAAATGGGAAGTAAGCAGGCAAGACAAGCCAGAAATAAGTGAACGATATGAAGACGCAGCAACCTTGAAAACAGCGCTTTGACGCTCAACGTCGACGATAAGTTCATATCTATCATCATCATTCAGCAGTTTCGTCCCTTTGAAAATACGAAAGTGTGTTGCCGGTGGATTCGAAGCGGTTGTTTCACAGAGGAGTGTAGCGGATCGACCAAAAATCGCATGCCGTGTGATTGATGGATTGCTGAATTCTGGAGCAACTGAAAGGTATGATCATCTTTTTCGAAGTAGTGCAAGTGCATTCTTCAATAACACCGAAGCATACCATATCAAGGTTCATCACTCATACTTCCCATTGACAATGACTTTGATTGTTCTAGCAATGTGGTGCTTGAATAAAATATGACTGGATTTCAATTTTGGTACTAATGGAGTTGATGACATGAACAAACAACAAAGTAGCGTTGATAAGTAACACCACGATCAACTTCATCAGCAAATCAATTCTACATCTCACTTTCGTCCATTGCTCATAATAGTTCAATAAAAAGTGTCCTAATATCTATTTGTTCACTTCCTATTATGAAGCAATAAGCAATAAACAACTCAATTCGATACAGCAAATAACATTAAACTTTCACACAACCATCTTGTTCTGATAACTCTTGTTAATCCTATTCGCACAGAGAAATGAAACTAATTTTGTGAAGTCATTAACAAATTCCATCAACTGTCACTAGCTCAAATAGCATAATTAAGCCAGCTCAACAAGCAAGCACTCTTCAAGAAATTGGACTAATATTCATATTGAAGACGAATGTCTTTAATTTCATAAATGAGGCTGATATGAACATTGAGTGAAAGATAATCTAACTGAAATAAATTACACCAAACGTCGATTCTTATTTCGTTTTGCTCAACACTTGTCGTATCATATTGTTTAAATTCCTGAACGGCCAAACATTTCACTACTCGATCTTGATAATGTTTTGTTAAGTATTCAACCGTAACTTCCGATCCAGCCACCGTAAATTCGTCTTCTGGAATGCAATTAACGTAAATGCGATGCAAATAATGTGCGTTCATCAACCATTTCCGCACATCCATTAGCAAGTGAGTGAGGTAAACATGGGCCGAAAATCAACTATCGCGCTTATTGCGTCGATTTTTCAAATAACCTCGCTGTTTATTTTCGCACTATATCAGCTCAAAACACCGAGAATCTTATCTAAAAATGCCTTAGCAGCTTCACCGTACCATTAAGTGGTTCACCATCACTATCCGTGATCTCAATTTCAGGTTGTGGATTCCCAGTCGCACCACAATCGATCGTTAGCGATTCGCCTAACATACCGCCCACAGTATCCTCTTTTTCGTTCCATACAATCGAGTCTGCAAAAAATGTTGCTTTGTTTTACAATTCTTCCAAATAAATCATCCTTCAATTCTTGTGAATGTGAAACGGAAGCGTATCGAAAGAATTGTTTTCGAAATACGATTGAGAAATAGAATTCGTTTGTGGCCGTATTAAGGCAATCAATCGTTATTCATTTCATACTTACCCACCACAACCACATGAATTATTTTGATATGCGTTTGTGCAGTCAGATCAACAGCTACACACTTGTAAGTGCCTGCATCACGGGGTGCGATTTTTGCGAAGACCATTGAAAGTTTTTTGTGATGAGTACCGTGCTCATGTAGTGCTACTGTGAACAGGCTGAAAGCAACACTAGCAAACAATTCAATACCCGTAGGTCAAAAAACATTTTGAAAACAACCTTCGATGAACTTTCAAGGTTTCGTTCATCAAACATAAACCGCTAAAAGTAGTTGATACAGCTAATAACAGCCAGCAAACCAACCAACCTGCTCGACGATTCACCATCAATTTTGCGGTCATTTTCGTTTTGCCACGAAAGCTGATTGATATCAGCCAAGTCTTCGCCATCGAATGTACACGATACATGAAACGTTTTATCCGACTTCACCACATATTTATTACCGGTTAAACTTGGTGGTGTTATCTTCAGTTTGTTTTTGAACGCATCAACCACACCGTTTTCATCACCTGAAATACCCACAAAGTTCTGCTAAATAAACCGAAAATAAAGCGAATTAAAAAAACTAAAACTGTCACACTCCTCATCAATTAATCAATTGAACCGTATCATCATATCAGTAAACATCGTTTTTTCCCTTTTTGACTCTGAGGAACACTCGAATCGATCGCTATCAAAGTTGATTGAGGCGCAAAAATTGCTTGCTCTACATAGAAAACCTGCTCTGAACATATACTCAAGTAAACTGCGAATAAACCAAAGCCGTCAATTATCAATCATCAGATCCAAAGCGTAAAACTTTGCTCATGCATACTCATCATCTAAGATCACGTAATCTGCTCATGCTTTCAACCATCACTGTAACTGATTTACATTCTATATTCGCAGTACTTGATTATTTTAAGGTACGACCAGCAGCCCAGTCAATGAAGCTTAAATGTTAGCAACTCCAAAAATAATGATACTCATAATGATAAGCAACAATACCGTGAAAATTTGATCAATTGGATATTGTTTATGGCTGATGCACTGGCATAATATTGCACTAACAAGTGAAGTTAGTAATCTAAGACGACAAGAAAGTTCATAAATTAGTTTAGTTTGCAGACGGTAGAATTGAATGACTGGGATAAGGAGCACGAATCATGTTATAAATATATAAAACAAATAGAAGATGTATAAAAGAGAGGAAATATGTGAAGAAATGTTTACTTAGTGTGTCAACTTAGTGTCATATTTCGAAATTGGTTGTTGTTGTTATTGTTTAGTAGATCATTTGCATAAAAGATCGATCGCATAAAGTCGAAGTTGACTGAGGTGTTAGGATAGTATATGATTTATTTGATCTAGTTATAGATGATAACACTGGAAATGAAATAGTGCAGAGGTTGTCATACCTCACATAAAGCTTTTGAATACATTCGTTTGGCTTCTTTCTTAGTGCAACATTAGAACTTTCGACAGTTTCTTTCTATTTTTCGTTATTGCAACGCAGTGAATACTTTTAAGCTCATCAGTGGATTTCAGTTAAGTGATTTGAAAGCATTCACCATTTATTCATTTCGTGAAAACTTTATTATCGCAATCGTACGTTTTTGTTGTGCTAATTTCGGAATAAAGAATAATGAACAAAAGTTTTTTTGGTTAAAGAAACCAAATAGGCTAATAGCACTTGTCACTTGTCGATGAATGTACGGTGTTACATTATTTATATGATCGAGTGAAATGTATTCCCTGATGGATTTTCTCAGAGAGCATAATTCTAATTGTGAGTTGTTTGTTTGTTGGTGTGCTGTGTTGATAGTGCAGTTAGGGAACGAATAAATAAATCAATGAATGATTCAAGACGAAGTGAAATGAAATTCGAAACAAAAAATGAAAAGAATTGAATAAAACAAACGCAACATGACCGAATGGCCCGCTACTGTGTGATACTTCGCAAAGCATTGTATTTTAAGCATTGTGCAACATAAACCTCATAGTTTCAGCGAGATTGATCATAGGCAAAATTGCTAGACGAATGTTCGTTAACCTTATCTAACGGAAACGAAACACTTTTTTAAAATTGTGAGTTCGATCTTTACCAAATGATTGCACAAAAAATTTGAACCAAAAAAACAACAGCAAAAGGAACTAAAAGCATGCTTCATCTAATATTTTATCACATTTTTTGCGCGACTTCGAGTATTTCCACCTCCCACATCGAAATTTTATTGGTTATTTCTCTTCTGCTTGCTTCCTGTTGGTATTCAAATACACATTCCAATACCAGCAAAAAAAATCAGGTAGATTCAAGTACATATGATAATGATGATAAACTTAGGAGCATAAGAATATCGACGTGAATTTTTTGCTGAAATCTCAACAACATACATGTGAGTACATGAAAATAATGAAGATGAATTCGACATTAATCACGATTAACAAACAAAGCAACAAAAACATGACCATTCGTTCCTGCATTCATTTCCAGGTTGTTCCGAAAGAAGATCATACAAGTTTGATAGCATCTATCAAACTACGAGTGTTTATTTGAATAAGTCTCGTTGAACGTCAGCATTTTTCTCAACTTTTTCTTCGCACGGGTATGCATATACAGACACACAGTCTCATACAAGAACATACCAGAATAGAATCACGTTAGATCCTGATCTGAACTTAATTTCCTGCTTTTTCTTATTTCTTTTACCAACTTTCTTCTAGTTGAAATCTCACTAACAACTATTTTCTTCGTCTACCCAAAAAAGTCATCCATCCTTGCCGTTCTTTTCGCCTGGAATTATAGTTATCCATCGCCGCAAATTTTGGTTCCTAGAGAGAAAACAATAAAAAAGAATACTAATAGCAATAATATGCTCTTACTAACTAATATTCATTAGAACAATAAAAAAATAACGACAATAATACCAACAGTAATAATAATGTCAAAGTGAACGTTAATCCTAACAAAGAATCAATAAGCTCAAATGACCCAATACTGAGTACTAGCTAGTGAAACCATAAGCGAGTGATATCAACACACAAACAGTAAAATAAGATCCAAAAATACTAGCATTGTAACAGTATCAGTAAAAATCGCAACAGAGTGAAATTTTTGGAATATGCTCTTGTGTAAAATAGTTAGCTGATAAATTTGAGAGTTACATGCCTATTCGAATGAACTGACTGATGTAAAAATATTAAAGCCATTTCAAATGCTATGCATTGCAAAGTAAGAATAAACTGATTGACCGATAAAATTCAATTTACGATATAAAATGATGATGCGAAAATGAATAAAAATTGGAGAAAAAATACATTACTCTACGTTTAATATTTATGTAGAGATATAATAATTTATAAATTCACGTTTACATCCATACATGAATAAAAAGTTATTCATTTATTATGGTATATACGTATACATGTGTACCATGGATCTATTGTCTGTCGCTTTCCTTGTACAAAATTTGCCTGGCTAGCAGGAAAATGTCGAAAATTTCTAAGAATTTAAATTGTACTGAGAGCTAGGCTTAGCTTTAGCTTTAGACTAACAACTGTGGGCCCACACTTATGCTCAAGCTCGGAACAACTTTTCATTCGTCAATATCCAGCATGCTTCAAGCAGATGTTCGACACTTTTCAGAGGGCCCGATTTTGATCGAAGAAATTTGATCGTAATTTGGATCAGATCGCAACTATCACTGTGAAGCGATTGGTTCGTTTCAGTTTCTCACTGATGTTTCTTCAGCTCCATTCGTCATCATCCTTAATCTTTCCCGTTTCTCCACTTTCATAAATCTAACAGTTTTCACAAATAATAATACTAAATGAATGGTTGAAAATCACTCATGCTAAACTCAAATGAAATATTTCATTGTTCTGTTTTCACCGCTAAGGTTACTTATCCATCGATTTTCAAGATCTATTAAGTGAGGATCGAAAGGAGAAGACAATGGTGTTTTGAATTGTCAGTGTGAAATATTGATGAAGGTAATAATCAGAAGAAGTTATAATGTATGAATGGATGGAGTATCGTTGTTGTACGCGTAGGCATGAAAGTCTCAAAATTCAAGCCTTAAGATGCCGCATCACATAAGCATTAGTAATTTATAAAGAACAATCATTTTTAAGAGGTGTTGCCGGTGCCTGCTTGTTTGTTTGTTTTTTTCTATTTGAACATAAACAAAAAATGATGTTGAAATATGATCGTCGAACTAGCGACCATTCACAAGAATACATAATATTGTCACTGCTCTCGACCGTCGGTCGGTCGCTCTTTGATACGAAAGTTCAAGCAGCATATCGTAATGAACGTTGAGTTTATTTAGCTGCTGTAGCGGTAACATCCGACCAGGTATAGAATATCTAACATAAGTAAAGATGATGCACTTGTATGTTCCATTGTTCAGTTCATTCGTTCAATAAACAATCAAATATCGTAATATTGTTCTATTATCATTATGTACCATCACAATCTATTTTACTATTTATTGATATTATATGGTTTACGACTGGTGTTATTAATATTGTTATTATTAAGATTATTTCATTACCGTTTTGCTTACTCTATTCCTCGTTCAGTAAACCAATTTTAATTATGTTCTTTGTTCATGCTCTCTAATATCTTTCAAGTCCACCTAAAAATGTACTCTTCATTCCCGTGAAACTTCTCGCTTACTAGCAAAAACAAATTATGGTGAGTGATGTACATCGGATCGGCCCATCCCTCCATCACATTCTTTCATTCACTTCATATGTGCGTACCCACCAAGCCAAAATCATTGCTAAGACGCTATGAAATAAAATGGACTGAAAAGAGAAACAGTAAATAATTAATTCGTCTATCCTCAATCGCGCGGAAATCATGATAATGAACGAATGAGTTATAATCTATCTTCAGACTTCAATGGAAACAGCAAACACTTTCGTTTGCTTCTTGGAATGATGTCGTCAATGAGACTATCCTCAAATTGTTTCAGTTTGCTGTGCACCATGAAGTTACCCCCTAGTGTGTGCAATATTCGTCTATTCTAATGATCGTTAATGAGACCATTCTCAAATGGTTGTGTTACTACTCCTTAAAATGACTTTTGTTGCACTGAATTAAGAACAAAATCAAAATCAGAATGCTTCTTCATTATTGTTGATTGTGATTAAAATATACATCTAAGAAGCATGACGAGGTGAAATAAGCAGTGAACGGATGATAAAGAAAGCACCCAAAAGAAGGAAGATGATGTTTCAAAATGATGACAAACAAAAATGATGATTTATTTCAGTTAGTTGTTCATCTTCTTAATTGCATCGCTTTGCAAATGAGAATAGAACGAACGAGCCGGATGAATGTATGCATGGATTAAGTTCAATGGGCTCCTTAAAGGACATCTTCTGAGTATAAAGGAGACCGAATGAAGCTGGAAAGTTTTAGAGGGGAAATTGATTAATCGAAAAGGAGGCAAGGATTAAGTGGGATATTAAAATGACATACGCGATGGGATTATCTTCAAACGATGAAGAAAAATGAATTTGAATGAGACTGATCATTGGAATAGATGAATAATGCACACGCTAGGGGGTAAGTTCAAGGTGCTCAATAAGAAATACCTATCATATCCACTAGTGCGGATTTAGAATCGAACAGATTTGAGGTTTTAAAAATGGAATAAATTTAGAATTAATGAGGATAAATAAGGATGAATTTACATACATATGTAAATGAGTGAATAAAGAGCTAGCATAAGAGTGAGAGA